ATCCTCTTCACTTGAAGGGGCTAAGATCTTTAGTGCTTTTTAGGATAATGCTCTGTTTATCAAATACAGCTGTATTTTGGGGGGGAGTTGGAGGCTGCTGCACCTCTTTTAAAGCATATCTGGAAAGGTAGGAATTAGAGACTAAACACAGGTGAGACAGAGCCTGGCTCTCACTGAGCAAGGGCAGAAGGGGTGTTACAGGCCTGTGTCACTGGAGTACATCTGTATCTTCCATCAGACCTTCACTGGGTAGAAATTGCCATGAATGCAGTGACTGTCCTTGGACAATAACTAGAACCTCTGCCTTCCTCAGCAAGTCAAGGTCAAGGACCAGCTCACCTACTCTCAGTCTTCTTCTACTGTTCAAAACCTCCCTTGCTCACCTCAAATTGAAAAGGAAGCTTCTAGTTCTTTAAATATTTTTCCTAGTTTTCAGTAAAGTGAGCATGAGTGCCTTTTATCTTATTACATGATCCAGCATGTCACCCTTGTAATAGATTGGAAGGCGTATGGATCATTAAAGAAATGAAGTTGAAATGACCAGGAATATCTAAGTTACTGGTGATTAAGGAAACACCTTCCTTTCCAAAGGACCATGCGTCACTGCTTTGTTTCAGCTCACTGAGCTGTATTGACCTGAGCCTTATAGAGTAAAACCCTGGCTTGTAAGTTATGATGGGTGCAGCTTTCACTATATGCCACATCACTCAGTTAAACTGTTGGATGTTCTCTGCATTGCTCCTATGTGCTCTCAGTATTTGAGAAGGAACATTTCCAAAAGCACAGCAAGTCAAAGGGAAGCAAAATTCCCTCCTAGAGTTTCAGATTTTTCTGACAACTAAATTGGATGGTACCTCTGTGATTTGTTTGTCTATTCCACAGTCCTCCCTGGGAAGCATTTCTGAATGCCTTCAGCTGAGACTTTTTGCTGCTGTGCAGATGGGACAGGAGCTGCCCATCTCTTCTCTTTCTTCCTCTTGTTCTGTCATGAGCTCAAAGCACTGATTTTTTTACCCTGGTGCCTGACAAACTGGTATCTTTCAAGGAAAAAATAATTTGTTGTACTGCAGTCCATAAAAAAATAAAAAAATTTTAAAAAATTGAAGAAATTAATTGCAACCTGCACAGGATGCCAAAAGTGTCAGACAGCAGGATCCAGAAAAGAATACAGTTCAACTCAATACACTTTTAATTTTCTAATTTTGGAGTTTGCATTACATTTATTGTTTTTCTTCAAGGGCAATATCAAGCTGTCCCACCAAATTAATGCCCAAAGCCCTATTCACGTCACCATCGAGCCCGCAGCTGGACTCACAGCTGTTCGGTTTATGAATCTTTCACATCTGCAGTCCTCCAGGAATGCCCTTCATTCATTCCTTTCTGTATGTGCTTGTCTGGTAGTGTTGGTGTTGCTCACTGTTCCATCTGTAATGCCCTATAAAGTGTTTCTCACTAATTGGCATGTTGGCTACTGTCTACATTGAAATATTTATGCGTTTTCTTGCAGGTCAGAGACTCCTGCAGTATACAGTGTGAAGTGAAGGCTTTAAAGAAAATATCTCAGTTTAGGTCAGGAGACCGGAGAATTGAACCAGTACATTCTCTGTTCAGTTCCAGCTTGCATTCAGCTGTAACTGAAGTTATTTTTGATAGATTCTTGTCTAAGCTGAAGCTGATTCACTAACTGGTTGGGTCAGTTTAGGCTGTTTCCAAGGGGAGTCAGTGTGGTAGAATGAAAAAGGTCAGGCGGTGGTGATGGGCTGCAGCATCCTCTGGGAAAAGGCTCCTGCCCACAGTGGCTTCTCTTCATCTCCAGTGTTGCCTGACTTAGGACTGGAGACTTGGGAGAAGCCATGGCCTTATGCTGCAGTGAGGATACAGAGAGAGACATCTCTGTGGCTGGGGAGGAGCAGGTGAGGGGTGCCTTGCTGTGCTCTCTCCTCAGTTAAGCCCAACTTGCATGTGACATCATACAGCAATACAGAAACATCCCATTTGCACCATCCAAACGTGGCATAGAGCGGTACTGAGACCCCAGAGGAACAAATCCAGAGGAGCAGAGCCTGCTGCCAAGGTGCAGGAGGGCTCAAACTGCATGTGCCAGCAAATGACAGAGTGAGGGAAAGGCCTGTAGGAAGAGGGCTGTTTTGGTGAGGCACTCACTGCCCTCAGAGATGAGCAGGCTCCTCTGAGGGCATGGAGGCTTTCAGTGAGCTGAGCCAGGACACAGCACCCTTCTGCTTCCTCTCATCCAGCCCTCCTCCAGATCAGTAAAGGCTTTAAAATAATAATTCAGGGTCAGCCTTTCCTTAGGAAGAAATAATGGTCTAAGCTAGTCTTAGTATAGATTTATTTTCTCTGTTTGCTGACATCGGGCTCTGCTATTTGCGCGTAAATTAGTTACAGATTGAGTACAGTGAGGTTAAGATTGCTGCTGCCCTTCACATCCACGTGATTGCACACATAACAATAGGAGATCAGCAGATGGCAGCTAAAAAAAGCAGATTCTCCGTTTTTTAATCAAATGGCTTTTTTTAAGATGGAATTTGTAGTATTTCCTCATTGTTTGAGTGACTAAAGCTAGGAGACTTTCAGATATTGTTTCAAAAGACACGAGCTGATTCAATACACTTGTTGCTGTGCATTCTTGTTTTGTAGGCTGATTAATGCATTGGTTTAAATGATTTATCAAAGAACTGCAGAGTAAAGAAACTCTAAAGTAATATATTAAGCTGACTGCTACAAGTAGGCTTTTTAAAGCATTTTTAGTGCATTTCTGCAGATGTTTGTCTGTTCTGGAATTTGAGTTAAGTTCAATGGATTTTTGTTTTAGTATTTAGGTTCTATGCTGGTAAAAGAGTTAAGAGGCACAGAGTCAACACAGGATGCGTGTGCAAAGATGAGGGTAAGTTTGTAAACCTACTTCTTTCTGTATCATAATAGTATTAAATAACATCAGTCTGTGGTTGGTTGTACTGTGCCCTTTTTACTTTTATAATGTACTGTTACCCATTTCTTTTCCTTGCATTTACATTGGTATTCAATAGGGAATCTGTTCTGCATTACATCTTAATTTCAAGTACTATGAAAATTTAAAGGTAAATTTTTCTTTTGCATGTATGCATTTTGTTTTCTCGTGAATCTTTCAGTATGTTTCAAAGTACTGTCCACACACTTTAAACGTGCCCATACCAAATTGATTTTATAAATAGAATTTATAGCTTTTATATGATAATCTCAATTTAATTTTCTATGTGAAAATATGTACTAATAAATATATTAACATGTTATAAAAGCTTTTTTTTATGCATGGTAAATCCAACAGTCACATAATCCTATGGATGCTTTTAGTCACATGAGTGTTTCCATTAAATATGAGTTACTTACATGCTTTTTGATTGAAGGGTGAAATGAGATCTTAAGTCAGTCTCACCTGATGGTGGAAAAGCAGTTAGGTTTCCTTCAGACTGTTAAGAATATGTTTTCCCGTGGCTCTTTGTCCTGATACTGGTTTGTAGAAAATTGCAACAAGGCTCGGTCTATTTCCAAGAAACATACCGCTGCTGGAAACTCAAAACAAGCCACGGCCTGATTTATTCCCAACTGTAGTTGTAATAAGAATGAACTGGTTCATAGCCATGGTGAACATATCATGGTCTGGCATGATTAATTAATGAAGAATGTAATTGTTTGCTGATCTATCAAACGTGTACAATTACACAGATGAATGAACTAATTTTTTTCTTATGTGTATCGTAAGTTTTGTATGCAAGATGCCTCTGAGCATGAGATGTGGCATTCGGATCAGTTAGAAAGCTGGAAGATGTGTAAAATTCATGCAATCAGACAACCATTTCCTACTGGTTACATATCTGCAGCACACAGACTTTTGTACAAGCTGTTTTAGCTAAGGGCTTGCAGTAATTCATGCTTACTAGATTGCCTAAAGACCTGAGGCTTTTCAGATAATAACATGCTAATCATTCCGTACCTGGACTTAAACTCCTCTAAAAAAAAAACAACAACTTGACACAGGGGGACCTACAATCAAATATACTTGTTCTGGGGAATTAATTGAGGCTACAAGCGTACCATCTTCCAATCCAGTTTTCAAACTATCAGGCTTAGCAGTTCAATTTTTTAGGCATATGCCTGCGCAGATCTTAGGGCAGAATTTGACACCATAGTAGCATGTGACATCTTCAGTAAGTTTTCTGACTGAACTAGGAAGCTTAACATCAAAAAAGGCACTCTAAATAATTTATAGGTCTTTTAAGATATATTTATATGAGTAATAAGTTTGACCAATTTAAATTATATAACTGAAAGAACTAAGTGTTTGAAAGCAAATTTAATTTAAAATACAAATTTTCTATAAAAATAGTGGAGTTGCACTAGTCATCTATAGTGCCATACAGGGCACTGATATAGCACAGTGACGGGATTTATGTACATTTATTTTTTACATTCTCTTTTGAAATCATTGTGCTGTGAGAATGTTTATTTTCTAGTCTGAGGTTTTTTATTGCGAAGATATTTGAATAAAACAGTTTTTAATCAAGATTTCATCTATTCTTTCTATGTAGTCCTTTTAATCATGTTCCTATTCAAGTCAAAAGCAAAAAACTTTGACTTAATGGGAACAGATTATTATTTTAGCCTATTTCCCAGTGAGAAAAATGGATCTTTTTCCAAAACTATTTCCCTGTGGTTGTGTTCTGAAAGTTGGTGTCTGTGAATTTGGAGTCCAGGCTGTCCAAAGTCATCCTGAAATTTTGCATTTTGCTGTGATAATCATTATTGTATTTAAGTACCACTGGGTTGTCATTGAAAATGCAGCTTCTGATATAGTTACATTTTACTTTAAATGTCTTGAAAGGGACATTTCACTTAAAAAAAAAGAAGTTAAAAGTAGATATATTATTTGCTGGCTCTGAGGTACAGAATTCTGTACACTTGTCCAGTGTCTCTAAAGTCAGTAAGATTTTTACATAGGGTTGTACTTTTGTGATAGAGCAATATTTTTTTAATTTTAGTATTTTATTTGTATTTCCATGTACATATCTACAATCTGTAGCATGCTGCAATCTGAAGCGTGTTGGGGGAGGGGAGTATGTCACTCGTAACCTTGTACCATGTTGAGGTCACTCCTTGCAATTTTTTAATCTTTCTGGACTCAGCCACATAATGGTTTTATGGAGAATGTATGAAAATTAGGTACCTAATTTTTCTGTCAGTGTGGCTTTAGATTCTCCATCTTTAACCTAATGCTGCTCAAAAAAAAGTATTGATATTCACTGAATGTCTTCCAGTCAGGAGGTGCACAAGAGTGAAAGAAAATGTATCAGTGAAAAAAAAAAAATCTTGATCTTCCTAATCATTCATAAATACAGAGAAACAACAAAAATGACATGTTTTCTGACTGCAGATCCCTCACTGTTAGTTGTAGATGCTCCCAGGGCTTTCAGTTATTGCAATTGATGGTTTTGGTTCTCAAGGGAAGTGTCATGCAGTTATCCCTTCTCTCTCTCCACAGAGAGGCTTACAGTGGCCTCCTTCCCTTATAGCTCAAGAGTGAAGGGAGATCCTAAATCTTCTGTAATGTAAAAAAACACCAATAATAATAAAAAACAAAAACAAAACCTGGGAACCTTTGTCTTAATAACTCTTCTTGGCAATCCACTGTGCTTCTGGGCATTGTGCAGCAATGTGCTCCAGCAGGGCAGATGATGAATTTGTTTGGGGAAAATCATGCAGAGGCAATAACTTGAGCTCAACATTAGGGTCAAGGTTATACATGGGTTTTTTTCCCACCTAAAATTGCAGATTCTTGTAGCCATTCAAAATTATGGATATTTGGCATTAAAAGTGTTTTTCCATTCCTATATTTGCACTCCTTTATATTTTATCCAGCTATTTTTTTCACAAACTGCCTTTGCAGTCGACAGTCCTGTCTCCTTATCTCCATTCCTCACCTGCTCTAGACTGACCTTTTCTACTTGGAGATTAAATCTTGCTGTCCTGGCCAGAATAGGTTTATTAATTATATTTGAGAGATGCCTTCAAGAAGTTAAGAGCTTTCATCTTTCTCAGTGTGGAATAGGAAATACTGCAAGTTGCATTTTCAATCAGACTGATGCCTTCACTTTAAATCATCATAGGAAAATGAAGGGAGAATACAATGTGTTTGCATCAAAATAAAGACAAGGAATAAAGTTAAATTTGAGCTAGGAAGGGACTTGTTCTCTACAGAAGACTCCATCTGGCATTTACACATCTGAATTCCTTGACCAGATAGGAAGGGGATGGTTTTATACTTACTGGCATGAGCACAGCACCAAGGATGACTCTTTCCTTGCAGCAATGTTAAATCACTGATGTTGCATACACCAACTGCACACTCTGAACCTATCAGATATTTACTGCAGCAGAAGGGAACTTAGATTTTGTTCTTGGATCCTGCCACCTTTCTGAATATTATGTATCTTCCTTATTTATTTGTTGTTAGAAAAGAGGTTCTAAAATTCAAGTCAAAGTTCTGAGGAACCAGCAATATAATTCTGTTCACAAAGCAGGTATTTAAATATCTCTCTGACTTAAGACCAAAATGTCAAAGTTGGAATTGTTACAAAATCTGCTTCTCTTTGTGAGAGGAAGACGAAGCAGAGTTGACTCACCGAAAATAGGCAGCATCTGGGGTATTTCTTCCTCATTTCATTTCTTCTTACATAAAGAAGAAGGATGTGAATTTAGATGGCAGTCTCCTTGTTTCTACCAAACCCTTTCTACTTTTCAATCTCCATTTCATTCCCTCGCCCCCAAAATAGAAGTGTAGAAGCCTCCATAGGCCTCCTAGTGAAGTAACCAGGCAAATAAATGTTGGGATCAAACACTGTATTTGACAACTCATATTCTTCAGTCTCTGGTCTCTTGGGACTTGTAGCTCTATCTCTCTCTTGTGTGGCCACTGCTTTGGGAGGGCCTGCAGTGGAAAAGGCACATGGATATTAATCAAAAGGAAAAAATAAGTGGTGGAATGTCTTCAGTCCCTATGCACATCCACATCATGCTGTACCGTGTTCTTCAGAGGATTTTACGTTCTTCCACTCTGTGGCTGAAAGGAATCTGAGGTGCAGAGGGATGCAGAGGAGTGTTAAGAGATACTGCAAAAGCAAAAAACCATCTCACTCTCAAGTACATGAGTTGCAGGTGCACCCCCAGTGCAATGTTCGTGTTAATGATGTAGCTTGGAAGCGTCCACTAATTGTAGAGAGGTAAACAGTCTTGTACCACAAGGATTACAGATGCAGTCTTATTCCAAGAGGTGTTAAATTATGTCAGTAATGCATTTTTAAGCCTTTTGGACTGAGAGAAGTTATTAAATATTTGTTACAAGGCAGACTTTAGTTTCAAAATTGGCTTCAAAACTAACTGTTCAATTGTGGACTTCGACTTTTTATTTCCATTTCATCTCGTGCATGATCTTGTCAAAGCGATTCACTCAAGTTCCTCTTCCACAGCTGGTCGAAGGAGGTGATTGTCTCGCTGTGCTCTGCACTGGTGTGGCCTCACCTTGAATATTGTGGCAGTTTTGGGCACTGCAATATAGGAAAGATATTAAGCTCTTAGAGAGCATCCAAAGGAGGGCAGTGAAGACAGTGAAGGGCCTTGAGGGGAAGCCGTATGAGGAGCGGCTGAGGTCACTTGGTCTGTTCAGCCTGGAGAAGAGGAGACTGAGGGGAGACCTCATTGCAGTCACAACTTCCTTGTGAGGGGAAGAGGAGGGACAGGCACTGATCTCTTCTCTGTGGTGAGCAGTGGTAGGACTTGAGAGAATGTCCTGAAGTTTGTCAAAGGAAGCTTAGGTTGGATATCAGGAAAAAAGTCTTCACCCAGAGAGTGGTTGGGCACTGAACAGGCTCCCCAGGGAAGTGGCCACAGCACCAAGCTTGACAAAGTTCAATAAGCGTTTGGACAACACTTTCAAGCACATGATATCATTCTTGGGGCTGTCCTATGCAGGGCTACGACTTGGACTTCAATGATCCTTGTAGGTCCCTTCCAATTGAGAATATTCTATGATTCTATGAACTGTTTAATGAGGCTTCATAAGCCTTAAATAAGTAGCAGACTTATTTATGCAGGTATGATAGTAGGTGGCACTAATACATATTTTGAAATGTGCAGTCTGATGCCATTTGGACTTAATAGTTGCTACCGGTTTAGGAAAAAGTTCAGAATCTTTTAGTGAACTGGATTCCAGTGCATAATTGAATAGGAAAATTGCCAGCTACAATGTTCATATAGCTATTAAAAACCAGTGTAGGACTGAACTAGAAGATTCATTTGCAAAAGTAAAAAGCCAAGATGAAAACTTAAGATTTTACAGGCTCATAAACTTGTACTCAGAATTTATTTATGTATGGGATTGTTAGTGACTTGTCATAGTTGAATAATGTTTTTTTACTGTGTATTTGCAAGATCAAGTGTAATTACATACGCAGTAAAACCTAAAAAAGAACATGATTTCATTTTAGCCACTGTATGAAATCTGAATAATCCAGTTATAAATGTGTGTATAAGTACATTGAAGTGGTCAACATGGCAAAGTAGAAGTACCAATGTATCCCATTTCCTCTTGGCAGGTAATAAATAAGTGAGATGAAAGCATTTTCAAAATGGGCTGGATTACAGCATGTGCTATGCTTTATCAAGTGAATGTGTGAGCATCTTACTTGGACACCATTCTATGAGTGTTTCTGATTTTCTTATTCAGCTGCTTTGTGTGTGTGTGCTCAGAGATACCATGTTTTGTACGCTGCAGGAATATTCAAAGGTGTTGGATTAGTACTCTCAGTTCTGCACAGAACAAGGTATTTAACCTTTCCTGAAAAGGTTAAAGGCCCTTCAAAGTTACAGGTTTTGTATTTGCTTTTTTAAAATAAACTGCTAGTTTATATTACTTTATTCAAAGAACAAATTCCTCTGCCTCTTAAGTCATTGTTAATTACCTTGATTTGTTAGGCACACTGGCAGAGTGGATCTCAAATTAGTTGGATTAGTTTATATTCAAAATAAATGTCTAGCAGTTCTGCACAGCCTTTAATGCAAAATCAATATACAGGTGGAAATGCTTTATCCACTTAAGACAATTTGCAGTACTACTATGCTATGGAAATGTGTTTAGAGGCTGGATGTGAGAATGGTATTTTTTTCAGTGAAACTGAAGAAAATTCATTAATTATGAAAAGCAAGCTTGCACTCACTCGCTTCCTCTCTGGCACCACTGCTCTTGCATCCCTTTATGACCCATTCAAAAGGAGGAATTGGGAGCAACCCTGTCCAAGCCTATGCAGGCTTTTGGCACTGTCCTGTATAATGGCTGCAGAGCATTCAGATGCAAACTCTGAGTCATAAATTCAGACCTTTTTTGTACAAGCAATTACTGTACTAACCAGGCAGTTATGCAGATGGTGCCTTCCACCTCCTTCCACTGGACTCATCTTCACTGTGGGTGCTGAGGCGATGAAGCAGCTTCATTGCAGCAGCTGCACCAAAATACAGATGAGACCACTATTCCTGATATTCTTTATTCTAAAGAGGAAGAGGCTCTATGTCTTTTGGGGGAGGTCTGGGGAAGCTGCACATATATCACATTAGATTTAGGATGGTAATGCTTTCTTCTGTCTTCCTCTGTCTGCAGACAAGCCTGCTTTATGGTTCTTGAATTATACATGGCCTGCTTTCACGTAGTCACCTACCTGTCCAGCATGAAGTATTTCAGAGAAGGGACCAAAGCTCAGTCTCTCTGGCATTGCAGACTGTGCAGCATTGAGACTTCTGGCTGCAGGAACAGTGCACCTGTGGAGGCAGGACATGCACATCTGTCCTTAGGTAGATGACCAGCTGATCAGTGGCAGGCACTGGCAAGGAGCCTAGAATAGGCTTGCTGTTCATCCAGGTGATTCCCCTGAAGAAGTGTATTGAATCAAAGAGCCAAAGTTGCAGTCACAAACAATGGAGTTCATAGGAACTATGACCAGGCTAGTGAGCACTTGCCCAAAGACAGTCACTATGATTCCTTCTATATGAGATGAAATATAATCCTACTTCTCTGGTATGAACACGCCTTGGAGCATTAGACCATATGTCAGCATGCATATGACATGCAATGCCAGCCCTCAGCTGTGACTCCTATAACTTTGGCTCAAGTTCATTTGCTTCCCATAGAGACACCAGATGGACAAGAATATTTTGTCATCTCATTGTGTCCTTGTGGAGTTGATACAGTGGCTAGAACCTGAAAAGCCCAAGGAAAGAGAATACTGACTCCTGTGTCCCGCCTTCTTCTCAGATTCTGGGCACAGGCACAGGCAGAGATGCCCACTTGGCCTTCACAGAGATGTGAAATGTCTGACCAAGAAAGCTGTGGGACTTCATCTCAGCATCCTAGAATTCAGAGCCAAAGCACTTACAGTGCCTGAGTGAATGGTATTCATACTGTATCTCTGAAAACTAACGTTACACATTCTGGCAGACACCCGCTCCATTAAAAAGAAAGGAACAGCAAGCAAATAGTATGAGCTCACCATGACAACTCGAAACTGTTGAAGCCTGGAAACTGCTTGGAAATAATAATTATGTGGTGGACTTCAGTTACTGTATCACTGAGAGTTGAGCAGGGGAATAGAGCTGTGTGTTTTTCTTGATGACACTGTCATAATAACAAAGGCTGTTATTCCACTGCCCAACTCTTTGTTGCAATGGGAGTACCAGTGCACAGTTGTTTCCCAAAATCATAATTCTACACTGGACTACAGTCTTATAGAACACCTTTGCACAAATCCTGGGGGTTTTATGCTTTACAAGCTGATGAGGAATATCCCCTGCTCCTTACCAGCTGAGGCAGTTTGGCCTAATAAATTACAAATGTCCATCAGTCTGATTCATTTCCTAATTTGCCAACTGTAATTGAATAGCTCTTGATGAGCTGTTTCACTGAGATACAGTCTTCTGGCAGTTCACAACCTCAATTAGATACTAGAGGTCAGGTCTGGTCTAGACAAATCCAGGTGGATGTGGAGCAGATAAGGAAGATGATTAAATTACAAACTACTGTCTAGAGGAAAGAGGACACCCAGATAGTTGGTACAGCATGGCCTTGCCAACAGGAAGTTTCACCTTTATGACAAATGCCAAACAGGGAGAATTAGACCAAAAAGCTAAAATATGTGAACTTAGTAACCATGTTTGTACAGCACGTTGACAGAGAAGGGGAATTTTGCTGCTAAGGAGGCAAGGAAGGACGTAATTACAATAATCAAAATGGGAGACAAAAAGCTCTTGCATGTAGCTGTCGTGCCAGAACAAAAGGACAAAAGTTGGATGATTGCTGGGTTGCCAGATGATTAAAGTGATATTGTCATATTTGTGACTATTTTGTCTAGTATAAGCATGTGCGGGGTTTATTGCTTGTTATTCTGATAGATGTATACACTGCAGCTTCTGTACAGGCACTCTCGTGCTTTCTGTGCATTGAAGGTGAATTTTATGAAAAGGCTTATTTGAGATCTATTACAGTGACACACACACATATGCACAGGTAGGTACTTGCTCTGCTTTTGGCAGGGATACCGTTTCTTTCTCCACTCAGTTCAGAGACATGCAAATCAGATTAATGTCTTTCTTCAGATTTTGTTAAAATTCTTCAGGTTATTTTACCATTTAAGCTGTCATCTTTTAGAAGTGCCTAGAATTCTGGGCGAAAGGAGCTTTCTCTGGGATAAATTGACACTTGATTGTTGTCTCAAGTCTCTCGTCATTTGATATGGAGAGATGCAACAATCCTCTCTATTACACGGATGGGCGGGGCTATCCTTGAAACCTTAATTAGAGGTTTTAGTCTTTGTGGAATGGACACTAATTGCAGAATGTAGCTGGATCTGTAGCTTTGAATTTTATGCTGGCAAAAATGGAGTCTCATTTGATTCTGTAAGGATTGAGAGCTGATAAAGAGACTTGATTACAGGATTTTGGTTGGTTTTGGTTTGGGGTTTTTTGTTGTTTGAAGCTTTTGTTATGCTCTCTAGTGTTAGCATCACTTATTTTTTAAAATATATTTTCTTCAGTTCCAGTCTGTGTTTTCAAGCTTATAACTAAACTTGTTTATTTGTCTTGGATAATACAAAACCACCACTGCTGCTTTTGTTTAGCTGCTCTATTGATCTTCCTAGGTGCCAATTCTAGATCTTTCAGCATGTTCACACTTTCCTTCTGTGTGCTGATGTTTCTTCATGTTTACCTGTAACTGAACTTACTCTTTCCTCTCAAGAAAATATTTGATTGTTTGCAGATGCTCCCATGAATAAGCATTCTCTGAATGTTATCTAATTTATTTATCTACAATAGTTCTGTATAGAATAGTCCATCATTGTCTTCAACCTTAAAAGAATTCAAATCAGCTATAGACTATTATGCCATATTTAGTTTTTTCTTTGGTTGGTTTTGGGGTTGTTGTAGTAAATTTAATTTGTAAACAACATTTTTTTCTTCAGAGAACTTAAATCTGATGCAGATATTTGCCTAATCTGTTCAGCAGGAAATATCTTTGCTATGTGCATCATATTGAAGGCACACAGAAGTAGACTAGCATAAAAGAAAAAACAATCTTATAGGAAGGCATGAACTGTAGGTAGGAGAACCTGGCACTGAGGGAATGCAGAATAACCCTCCATGCTAATTCATGTGTAAAGCAGCTTCCAGTAGCAGCTGCACTCAAAAGTGCAGACGGTCAGACGTGACAAGATACAACATTGGGCTGACAGATTGACTGTCAGGCCTAGAGGGTTGCAGGGATAGTTCATGTCACAAATACAACTACAAGAAGGCAAAAGAGTGAAATATTTCTAAATAACAACTAATTACAGGAAAGAAACGGTACTATGAGAGGTACCGCGCTGTTGGTTTTTACAGCTGGGAAGGGCAGGAGGAGGGGAGGGAGCGATGGATGGGGCATGTCAGGTAGATGTTTTAACCACACACGTCTTGAGAAATGCTGGTTGCATGACTGGTCTTTCTAAGCCTGGCAAAGTTACTTTATTCTCTTCTCATTGTGCTAGGAAAAAGGAGAACTTTTATCATCCTTACAACAAACAATGCTTTTTTTTTTTAGTTTTGTAACTACAAGGCAGATATTTCAAAAGCCCAGAGCATAGTCAGCTGAAGAAAAAGTAAAATATTTGTTTAACTTAGGTGTTTTATCAGAAGAAAAGAGCACTGTTCTTGCAATGCAACACAAGTCTAATAACATCTTCATTTTGATTTCAGAAGTCTACAGAACAAATGAAAAAAGTACCAACCATTGTCCTGTCTGTTTCTTACAAAGGAGTCAAATTTATTGATGCCACAAATAAGGTATGTGCAATTATTCAATACTAGCTTTTATTTCTCACAACTAGGAGAAATAGTAATACCTGTGAGGACCAGGCCAGAAAGGGGACAGATTTGCACTTTGCGTTTTCCTCTCCTTTTTTTCACCTCTTCTCTCCAAAATGGATGTAATGTCATTGCCATTCTTCAGAAACTCAGTCTGGAGGACAAGTGGAGCAGTTTTAATGGCTTATTTGGAGAACATCGTGTCCAGCGTTCTTCCATTAAAAGGCAAGCTTATCACAAAAGACATTTGGCAGGGAGCCTCTGTGGAATCCTTTATATTTATTTATTTATTTGTTCATTAATATAATTTGGGCAAATAATTAAAAAAAGTCTCACTGAAATAAAGATACATGGTTTTATCCAGGGCCAGCCATTCTAAGAATAAGAAACATGAGACTTAAATGTCCTTTGAAAAATGCTAGAGGCTCTCTATGAGCTGTTTTCCTGGCACTAGCCACTTAACTCTCTGAACTGCAACAGTTTCTTAGCAGTTGTTATTCCATAATTTTTTCATCTTCCTGTGTGGCAATGCTCCTGTGCTTTGTTTCTTATGTTTTAAAATACATCCAAAATCTTAAAACAAAAAAACCAAACTAACCAAAAACACAAAAGCAGAAATTGAGAGATCAGAGAACTCAGTGATGGATGGAGCAATGGATTAATGCTTAGCCAAAGTAAAATGTACAGGCTCTGTAAGGAGGAGTAAAGTAATGCATGAATTTCTCTTCTTTGGATGCTTAAAGTGGCAAAAAAATGCAATCATCTATACTGATGCTTTCATATGAATAGAAAATAAATTATCTTTTCTGTTATGTGACTAAAATTCACTGAGCAATATAAAAAATAAATCCAACAACCCAACTACCTGACTAGGTTAATAATGTATAGAGTGGCTTTGTGTTGCTGAACATTCAGATGTACCACACAGTACATCTAACCCAGTATCCATCAAACTTGCCAAATCAATCAGGTTTTTAAAGCTGTTTAACTAGAACTGGGTTTTAAGTGAAGGATGGAAGCAGATTTGTGAACTTCTGCTAGAGTTTGAAAACCATATTTAGAGTTAGAAGACAGAATAAAAGAAAAAGTGAGGTGAAATTACTGTTATGTCAAGTCTGGCGTTTGCCAGAGCAGAGAGGCCAGGGATTCCTGTCAGCTCCTTTTTCTTCCACTGATTCAGAACTGAGCTTCTACAACCCTCATTTCCTTTATGTTCTCTGATGTGCAGGGCATAAATCAGGACATTGTAATGCTATTAACTCTAACTTGGATAATGCTTTCAGCTCTTAAATCTCTTCCGTAGCATAAAGGATGTAACTGCAATGTCCTTAGGTTTACCAAAAAAATCAGGAGAACAAAAGGAGCTTCCCGTGTCTCTTTGTACAGTGCATAGAATCTTACATAAGATGGAAACTTGAAAGAAGTTTGGCAAATTGCATTAGATGACTCTGCACGAGTCCCACTGAAACCTTATGCCTAGTAGTCCAACGGATGTTTTTCATGGAGGTAAATAATGCCACAGTCCTGTGTTTTTTCTCAAGTGGTAGATTGCTTTCTCTCCAGTTCAAAATCTGCACTGCCTTTCCCTTCTGTAAAAACCAGGTAATAGCCTGCAACTCTCCCAGAAGCGTTATCATCCTTGTCCACAGTGTGCTGTTCCCAATTCCTTCAAGACCCAAAACAGATTAGCACTAAGGTGAGATCCTATTCAGACTTGTACTGCTTCCGTATGAGCTTATAGTTGACGGCGCTGGGCACCACTTAGCAATAAATGCATACTTTTTAATTACAAAAATAGCTAGCAGTTCTGTGCTTGAAAACTCAGCTCTCATGGCTGTTCATCTTTTTCCTTTGTACCACCAAGCTAAGAATTTGTATTCCAAGTCATAGCAGGCAAAGTTTCAGGTGATGAAGGGGCCCTGACCTCATTCCTCGACAGCTATTTCAGTGGCGCCTTGAAGCTTGGCATGACACCACTTTGACATGACACCATTTCTTTGCAAGTGAGGCCAGAAAGAAATTGCTGCTTAGGAAAAAGCAGACTTGCAGAATTTTCTGGTGGCTCACAGCTCACTCTGTCTTCTGGGTGATTTCTGCCAGGAGGGAGATTGGTTGGCACGAGGTAGGCAAGCAAAAGGAAGGTTGCTTAGCAAAAACCTGGTCTCTCCAAGGTATTTCCTTGGCAGAACCAGAACTGACTTTCAGCTTCCCTGCTTTTTGAGAAACCAGAGGTTTCTCTTGCCAAACTGAGAGACAATTTTAGAATGACAACTGTGCAGTGTCAGTCAATGCCTGAGGAACATACCCAGAACAGCGAGCTGGTTCACAGCCTACTACTTTCTACAGAACAAGACTATGGGTCTACTGAAATAGTGACCCTAGGAAGCAGTAAACACATGCACTGAAAAATGTTTAATTTTGAAAGGAGATCACAGAGGATATGTCCTATATTCACTCAATTTCACTACTAATTTTCACCCAGAAGATTCAGTTTAGTTATACTTTATTTTATTTAAAACAAACTTGATATGTGTATATTTCTAAAATTCACTTGGTTTAAAATTAAAATATTAAAATAATCTCTGTGAGTTTTGACTCAAGTGCAAATCCCTGTGTCAACCCCAGGTCACCTAGAAAAGTTGAAGCATAGCAGAGCTCTTTTCACATATGCTGCATAAATTCAGGTGATTACATTGTGGCTCATGATTTGGCATAAGTACTTCACATATGATTTTATGACCCTCCAAGCTTTAATTCTTTCTGCCTTCTAAACTACAGTGTTGTCAACACCACATCAATGACAGTGTATTACAGCTCTATCTGTGGATATCTGAATCCCTGGTTTCGGTATAATACTAATTCTCATCAAAATCTTTAGTGAGGGTAAAAGTTATCAATTTGAGAACAAGAAAATAAAATGCTTCAAGGAACATAAAAAGCGAGCGATTGTTAAGCAGAGATTATATGTGTCATTATAAATTGGCATATATTGAAACATAAGTACTGGTTTTGTCATTTTTATAAATAATGCATTAAACAGAAATAATCAAGTATGTTCCAACAATTTAGGAGGATTATTTCATTTCTTCAGTAACAGTTTCCTTATCTCGGTTTTTCCATAATTTGAAATATGGAATGCTTTTTATTAAGATTTTTCCTAAGTGATGATTTCTTCAATTAGATATATTACTACATTTTTTCGATAACTTGACACCTACATGCAAGGGGGAAAGTTGCCACTTAGCAAATGAAAGAAGACATGGCAAAGCATCTAAAATGATTTAGTTGCATATAGTAAAAAAAAATTAATAAAAGAGGGAGAGGAAAGGAGGTGGTAAGGAAAAGAGAGGGGTGAGGGAAAACCAGAGATGTTCAGAGATTGTTTTAACATGGACAGATGCCACCAAGGCAAGTGGTGGCTGTGCAAGGAACTGGGACACCACAGATGTCACATGTTCCGTGATGCAGTTGCGATGTCATGCTGCAGCAGGCTTGATCACTTTGGACTTTTGTGGAAATGCTAGAGCTACAGCCAGCAGGGCCACAGTTCAAGAAAGCATAACTGCTAAGTAAATTCCTATTCAATTAATCATTCTTCTGTTGAAATAAACCCTTTCAAATGCGTATATTGCTGAAGCAAGGCCTAATCATAAGCCACTCTGCAGTATCTTCTTCTCTGGCTTCATGGTTCCTTTGGCCTGAACACAATAATTACATATCAGCAATTTCTGTAATGAATATTCATAATTTTCTCCAAAGCTTTAAGACAGCTTTTTTTTATTTCATCAGACAGACATGCCCCACCTCTATCTCAGTAGTGTGCTATAGCTTACATTGGCTGTTGCAAGTAGTGTGGCTCGGTGCATGAATGGTTTCATTTTCCTATATCTCTCTTACAGGATGCTCTTGTCAGTAAGTGGAGAGAAATTGCCAGATCCTCCTGTAGTTATCTTTTTAGTAATCAGAAGCCTTTCAATATCTCATGGTTTCGGTTATAAGTCATGTTTGGTGGTTTTTTCCTCATGAAACGGTATAGCTAAAATTTGTCAAACACCACGTGCAAACACCTGGCTATTAAGCCTGCTAGGTTTCACCAGATCCCATCTGTCAGTAGACTGAAACAATGTCCTATTTTGATCATTGCACAAAAAACCAGCAACTTCATAAGATGCTCATATAGTGCTTTGAAACAGTATTCATAGCTGTATGCCAGGAAATAGGTCTCTTTGTCAAAGGATACTGAATAAACTGTACAAAGCACAAGTGGCCTCATAGGCAAGACTCTAGTACATAATGGTTTCCTACCAGATTTTTAGTAATTGAAAAGGATCAAAATTCCAAATACCTATGTAAGATCACACATGGGGTATATTGAATCTCTTCTTACTAAGACATTTCTGAAATACCTCAGTACAGCAGATCAATATAAATGTGAATCTAAACCCCCACCTTTTACAGCTCTTTTAAATTTAATTCCTGAATTGATTGCAAATGTTTTTTTTAAACAGAATATCATTGCTGAACATGAAATCCGTAACATTTCCTGTGCTGCACAAGACCCTGAAGACCTTTCTACATTTGCGTACATCACTAAAGACTTGAAGACTAATCACCACTACTGCCATGTATTCACTGCGTTTGATGTGGTCAGTTTATAGAACATACTTCATTTAATAGTTCTTTGTAATAGTAATAGTTATTTTATTCTGTTAAAATGCTTTCAGGATATATGATGATTAATGGAAGGTATCATTCATTTACCACATGAAAAGACTAATGGGATATCAAAAGGACATTTCTGGAGAAGAGCCAAGATTTTCTTTGATATCTCATTTTCCATATGAAATAACTCATCTCTGTCACCTCAGCTGTTGACTGTAAACTTAGTGAGTAGCTTTTCATACAAGTCTTGATATGTAATTTTTATGCTATAACCTTCCAAGAAGTTTGTAGCAAGCAGGTTTGGCCACCTATTCTGAAATCTCAGATTTCAGTGCACACCAAATAAACAAATCAGAAAAGGGTCCATGTACATTATATACAGTGCTCAGTCCTGCCAAGAGGTAGGTTCAGCAACTAGATCAAACTATGTTTGCAGGGCATCCTGCATGTTTTACTGCATTATACTTCCTGGGCAGTCAGGGAAGGACAGATTTGATGACATCTGGCCTTCTGGGTTTTCACCCTTGTATGTCCATCCCATGCCCCTCAACAAGCAGCTAGAGGGTCGGAACTTACTTGAGGGGGCCCTCTGAGCCTGGACACATCACACCTTCTTGAAGTAGATGGAGGCTGCTTTTTCGATGAAGAGGTCAGATGTTACCACCAGGAGTGATTTCTTCAGATTTCTTTTTTTCTTTTAGACTGGAAGAGGGTAGGTTTAGATTAGGTATTGGGAAGAAATTCTTCTCTATGAGGTGGTATGACACTGGAACAGGTTGCCCAGAGTGGCTGTGGATGCCTCATCCTGGAAGTGTTCAAGGTCAGGCTGGACAGGGCTTTGAGGAACTTAGTCTAGTCGAAAGTGTTCCTGCCTATGGCAGGAGGGAATTGGAACTAGATGATCTTTAAGATCCTTTCCAACCCAAACCATTCTGTTATTTTGTGATTCTTACCCTGCTGTTCCATTACTTTTAGTGTTTCAGTGGTAAGCTGGATCAGTCCCAATAACTCATTTCTCTAAATATTGTTTAGACTTTTTGGCATTATACTGAATAAACTGGAAAACTGAAGCTTCTTCTGCAAATGTGTAGAAAATGTATGAGAAGTTTTGTATTTATTTTAACCAAAGAATCGAAATACAGATCTGACAGAGACCACACAGGTAGCTAATTACATATCATAGGAGGTCCTAGGAATATTTGGCTACTACACCGAATCTGAAAGATTTGAAATGTCTGTAACAACAGAAATTATTATTATTTGCCAATCCCTCTGTTCTGCTCTGCTCTCTGTCATGTCAGAGGGAGTTTTAGCTTGACAATTAAGGGAGATATGGAATTTGGTGAAATTTTATTTTAGCAGCAGCTTTACCTTTTCAAAAAGATATTCTTTATTTTGAAAATAGCAAATTAATTCTTTAGTTCTTATTTCCTTGTTCCAATTTTCTTGCCTACGTATCTCAAAATGTTATTTCAGCATAAGTCCTTAGAACTCCTGTTATTTTGGTGAAAAATTGCTCAGTTCTTCCTATATTTATGCTTCTCAGATGGGGATGCACAAATTATTCATCATGGCTAGGCTTCACGAGCGAAGATTTGGGAAAGGCTCTACCCACGTTTGTTACATGCGCGCTGGTGGCTAAAAAGGCCAATACGAGACAGGCATGTCAAGTTGCAAAAGGCACAGCAGAAAGACTCCTTAGGTGGTAAATTCTGCAGGGCACGATTCTTTCTGCGTTGTCTTTTCTCCTCAAGGGTGATCCTGCGTGCTTTCTCAAAGGCATCAGCAGCGTTATAGATGGTGTGTCTCCAGACCTCCCGATTGGAGGCCAGAGTAGATCAGTTATGTTGATCAATATGGCCAAGGCTGAGATGTTGTTTCAGGGAGTCCTTGTATCTTTTCTTTGGGGTTCCTCTCTTGCGGCAGCCGGTGGCAAGTTCACCATAAAGCAAGATCTTAGGGAGGCGGTGGTCCTTCATCCTTGAGACGTGCCCTGCCCATCGCAGCTGTGTTCTCAGCAACATGGCCTCAATACTTGTGACTGCTGCTTGTTCTAGAACAGTTGTATTAGTCACATAATCTGACCAGTGGATGTTTAGGATTGTACGAAGGCAGCTTTGATAGAAGCGTTCCAGGAGTTGCAGATGGTGGCAGTAGATGACCCATGATTCAGATCCGTATAAGAGAGTAGACAGCACTATGGCTCTGTAAACACTGATCTTTGTACTTTTCTTTAAGTGTTTATTTCGCCAAACTCTTTTATGAAGCTTTCCAAAGGCACTATATGCCTTTGCTAACCTGTTGTCTATCTCTCCATCAATCTTACCGTCCGAGGAGGTGAGGCTACCTAGGTAGCACAAATTATTACTGTTGCAAGAAATCATGAACACATCAATTAATCGGTCATGCAGTTTTCAGCTAAATTTAGTGAAATAAGTAGTAGCTATAGTTTTTAGGACAAAGATTTATTGTCCAAAATTTTCAGGAGTACTTGCCCTTTGAGTTGTGCACAAGAGAAATTTAAGGTGCTATTAAAACTTCAAAATTATTCAAGAAAAAATATTTTACTGTAGTATAACGTATGAATTCTTGAAACATGATTACATGGATATAAATAAGTTTAAGAAAAAGAGGGGCCTGAACGGTGGCATTTTATTTGGGACTGGGGGAATAGTTAACATTGCATAGCAACAGCATGTAGGAGAATTTAAATAACAAGATGTACAGGTAGGTTAGAAGCACTTTTAGCATTTCGGTGACATTCTTTTGTTTAAATTCTCTGTGGACATTTTAGTGTCCACAGAGAGTAGAAAAAACTTTAAAATTGTGTTAAAAATAGATAGACGGTGGTCAACAAGATGTTCCGTTATAGAGATTTTAGTGATAAGTGAATCAGCTGAAATTAGACTGATTGAGTGAGGTTATTATTTCTCCTCATCCATTTAAATACTTCTTAATGGTTTTGAAGTACTGCAGTTTCATTTATAGGTTTAATAATCAAGCACAAACATAGACTCAGGTATACAGCAGATAAAATTCATCTCCTTTCTTGGCAAGGGAAGAAAAGTGATCCAGGAATAATTACATTTTGCTCACTTCCTGTATCTAAGGAGGAGCATTTAATACCCCAAGCATTTTAAACGGCTATTTTAAGCAATACAGAAACTTTAATGTCAAACTGTCATAACTTAGTTTTCTCCTGCAACATAATCCTCAGTGGGGTGTTACCTACTCAAATATTCCCTTTTTATGTTGTTTTATTTCTCAGGATCTAGCATTTTTGATGCAAGTACAAGCTGTATAAAAAATAGCTAGATATTCAGAGCAGAAGCATACAGTGAATTAAATTTTCTATTTAAAATCTAATGCTCATGTTAGAGCCTGATCTCCCAGTTTATGAACAGAAGCAATCCTACTCATTTGTCAATGGATAGAAGTTCAATCATTTCAAGAAAAATAAGGTTTAAAATGGTAGAAATCCACGATAAGGTGTAAAAATATGCATTTTAAGTTATATATGTTATAGCAATACAATATACGCAATGTTATGGTAAAAAAATCGCTCTCAAGTCCTTCAGTTTCTTGGGAAATGTGGACAAGAACAATTTCTTTATAGATAGGGAAGTATTTTAGTAATGTCAACCACCAGCATAACTGATACTATTTCAGAATAGCTGTATATGTAACTTGTCTACTCAGAGTTAAAGTTCTATGATCAAAATTGCAAAAAAATCTTGACTAAAGAATATTGAAGGAGACAAGGTTTGGGGGAAGAAGAAGATTTATTGCTCAGTATTTGAGATCCACTTTCATTCACTTACTAAGCAGCCTTAAATCTACCACTGAAGGATTCCCTCTTGAGAAACACACCATCATAACATCCTACACCATCATAACCATCCCATACCAAATTCTGGCTCACGTATTGGAGACATCCAGAGTAATTTCCATTGGATATTCCTTCATTGCTCAATGCACCTATGATTAGAAGACAACAAAAAAGTCAGTTAAAATGTAAGAAAACAATTAGCCATTGTAATAGGTTGGCTGAATTAAAGCGGCTGAAGAATCCTGACTCAGACTTGCACTGGGGTGTTGAATTGTAACATTGCAAAGCAAACAAGGCAATTGACCTCATTTCTCATCTCCCAGAAACTGTTGCTTAAAGGCATTAGCTTACTCACTTTCCTTCTCTGCTGTACTAAGCAAGGAGCAGGATTGTAGCAGCCTTGGTAGCACCGCAGTCCTAAAGGTTTTGCCTCATTTTTAAAGAGCTTGATGGGGTTCCGTAAAGGCCAGTGTCTTTTACAGCGGCCAGAGGCTCTACAACTTTGGTGCTAAGCGTCTTTCAGGGAGGCAGACTCGTATCCTTCCTTTTGCACCACATGTCAAAAGTTCAAATAGTTTCCTTACTCCATTAGAGGGATTTCCACAATGGATTTTGTGGTTTGGTTTTCCACCCCTATTCCCACAGGAATCCTGCTCTTACCTCTCCAGTATAGCCCCTGCAAGAATCTGTACCAACTCTAATCCTTATAATCCTCTCCCAGTACTACTGATGAGAAATACCTCAAACCAAGCTTATTTACCAATTTTTTTTTCAAAATACAGTTTTTCAGATAAGTTCTTTAAATTGTACAAGTTACAATGTTAAAGCCCTCCTTGCCTCCATTTGCAGACTTCCCTTTGTCAAGGCTCTACCACAGTACACAATGTATGACATTTATGTACCAGTTATGGTTCAGTTTGCATTTCGAATATTGAACAGAATAGTGAATGTTTTATTTGCTATATTTCAAATATTTATTAACCAGAGAAACAGTTACATGTTTCTTATGGCTTTCAGACTCCAGGCAGGCCTATTTTTTCATTTTACAGACTACAAAGGAAAACAAATTATAGTGGCTTCAGATAGGATGCAGGACTCAGACTAGATTTATGGCTCAGCATGGCAAACTTTTAGTCTGTCTCCATGCTTATCTTAGAGATTTTCAAGCCTGTCTTGGTGACATTTTGGTATGCCTCGCTGGATGGCGTATTTTCTCAGTCCTACTAGCATTGCAGCCTGCATTTTCTGCAAGCCATTACTACACCCTGTCTTGCTGATGTATTCCTTAGCAATAATGTTACCCACTCTAGACCATCCCAGGATGATATAGTATGCTCTTTTACTGTCACAACAGCTGATTCTAAAGACATCTGTCTTTAGGTTAATATTCTTGTCCTACTAAAAAGCACGCTCCAGTTCAAATTATATTATTCTCTACATTTTTAACAGTTATACTCTGTTGCTCTTAATTCTATAGCCAGCATTTTGCTAAAAGGCAGAGCAGTTCATAATAGCCTCTTTGGTTTTCCTTTTATTACAACACTGGCAAACTGCATCCTCAGTGTTTCTCGGTCCTGGCCAGTTTCCCTTGAAGTTAAAGGGGAGATAATTTGGAGACTACAGCTATCAAATCAGGCAGACATTTTTATTTGGGAAGCTATGAAACTTTGGCTGGCTTTCTGTTGTAACTGCAGTTGTAACTGCTGAGAGCATGTCCCAGTGGAGGAGTATAAGTGTTTTCTGTCTGACCTAACACAGGCCAGAGCTGGCACTTCTATAAGAAGCTCTTATAATGAGCTAAATATGCCCAATTTAGCCTATACTATCTCAGTATACACATGTGATAAAAAAGGGAATGAATTTCTTCAGGGAAATGAAAACAAAGCTAAATGGATAAGCATTTTATTTCACTTTAACGATTGA